TCTAGGGGGTTAAATAAATAATTTTCATTTAATAATCAATTGTAGTATATTATAGTTTTGGAGAATCGTCACTACATTTGACTGAGGGAGTACTGAGTGGTGTAACAAAATGGCTCAGGAGGTACTGTACACAAGTCTAAAAAGGTTGAGAACCACTGTTCTRTAGCCTCCATAGCTAAAGCCCATCAAGGCTCTTCCAAATGACGATCACTATAATTAATAAAATGTTCTCTATACTATACTACACTATACTAATATTGTCAGTAAGTAGGAGATTTTACACTTTAAATGTTTACTGATCTAAGTCTTATTTTAATGTTTTAAATGGATGTGATGTATCCTTTTTAAAGGGAATATCCATGACACTAAAACAAAACTGAGGTTAAAAGGAATAATCATTTGAACTGTTAGACTGGATGTTCAAACAAAAATCTAAAAGAAAAAAAGCTGAATTAAAAAGCTAAAAATAGTATAGTTTAAGCAGTGATGATGATGTCGCACCTTAGCCACAGAGAGAATCCGTAAGATATTTTTAGTGGCGACCAAGGTGGTTCTGGCCCGAGTCACCGCCACGTACAGTAGGTTCCACTCATCAGCTGGAATTTTAGCTTTCAGAGGAAAAAAAAAACAACATCACAAAAACAGACCATCAATTATGAGCAGAAAGAGGTGTGGTGTGGAATAAATGGAGAAAAAGAGGAGTTTTTTTTAAACGTACAAAATGTGAAGTCATGAAAGCGGAGGTTGTGTCCTGAGGAGGGGATGGTGACAAAGTCGTCACTGATGATCACGGTGTCAAACTCCAGACCTTTAGCCTTGTGGACCGTCCCAACTATAAAGTCTAGAGTAAACAGGACACAAATATAAAAGATTTATACAAATCGCAACATCTACAGAATCACAGAGTTAGAAAAAAAAAACAGTGTCATTTTTTTCCTATGTTGTGCAACTCTGTTCAGTACGGAAAACAAAAATGTCAGCACCATTTATTCATTGGAAAGGCTTATTTTTAAAAGCCCCTGCGAATAGTCCAGATGAGGAAACATCCATTCAGAAGGCTGATGAAACATTTATGATTCAGCCGCCTTCTTCCTTTTTCTCT